TGGTTTTCTCCCGTTCCCCTTTGGACCCGTTTCTGGCAAATAATGGGGTCCCCAAAAGTTGCAGGTCCCTCGACCGTCCTTAAGGGGTCAACAGGCAAAGGGAGGGGTTCCTGGAGGTTTCGAAGATCTTTCCATGATATCAGACCGGGGTCAAAAGAAACATGGCCGAACTTGGGTTCATTACCTGCTGCAATCTTGGGGTTCCACTACGCCCCAACCGCTCACGTCGGATTTAACTGGCCACACAGCCACTTTTGTTTGAATCGTATATACTCCCAAATGGTGGGGGGTAGTGGAAACCATAAGATATTGCCACACCATGTATGCTCGATATTTGCTGGATTTCACACTTTTGGGAAAACCATCTTGATGGTTACACAAATAACACATTTTGTTTCCAACCTACTCAGGAAGTGAGGCCGTGGTTTTACCTAGCCAGTGGGTCGAAGGGTCGCGTTGCGGTCGGCTTTTGAGGCCGTGGTGGGCCGGGGCCTTCTGCGGCGCCAGGAGGTGCGGTTTTGTGCTTTACCCTGTTGCCCAAAATGGAACGGGGAAAGAGAAATGGCTGCGGGGTGCTGGGTGCTGGTGGCGCCTTCAAGCCCTTCAAGCAATTGCTTTCCAGGCAATTTTGATGTCCTAAATAAGGCCTTAATAAGGCCTAATAAGGTTTTTTGTGGGCTCCATATGGGCTTTGACTAGGTACAATTCTATTTGACATCAAAAACTCCCTAGTCTACTTTTTCAATTCAACTACTTCCTGGTTATCAAGGGGGTACAACTGAAGGACCTTCCGAGCCTTCCCTGAGGGAATGACCCCTAAGAACGAACCAACTTGTGGTTTCCTCAGCGGATCCCTCTTGATTCATTGAATTCTCCTCTTTTATGATTGTCAATGTCACCTTGGTTCAGAAGGGAAATACCTCCCCTCCCGTCAACACTCTGACTTCAACCCCCTGAAGACGTCGACTCCAACCTTTCGCCAGGACGCCAGCGAGCTGTGCACGGAGAGCGATTTGGCGAGGATGGCGAAGCTGCGGGCCCTCAACCAGCCCAAGGACTTCGCCGCGAGCGGAGTTGCAACTCGAAAACGAATCATCTGTTTTTTGGAGACGTGGGTTGCGTGTCTTGTCGGCAACCGTTTGGTGTAGTTGTAGAGGGAAACCCGAATGGCAAATCCAAGTCTCTATTTTGACTCGCACCCTGACCAAATCTCATGCTGGTTGTCAGGGAATCAACAGGGGTCTCGGGAATGAGCCCAATTTGGACACCTCCCGTTGCGAGTGCGGCTAGGAGCTGATGAAGTACGGGCGGGCCGCTCAGTGGGATCGGGGGGAACAACCGGGCTGGCGCAAAAGCTGGGCTTTTATCTTATAGCAGAAGCACAATCACACCACCCCCCGCTCCCCCCATTTTTGACAACCCCTTTCCTTGGATCATGATTTTCCTACTACCGTTCCTTGGCGGTGGCAAGGAAATCCACCAGGTGCCCATGATCGCGATCTAGTCTCTTTTCAGAGTTGTTGTATTTGTTTGGGTTATTTCGAAGAAAAGAAAAGCATTTGAGGAGTCTCGCAGAGATAAGCCCAGAAAAGGTTTCCTACCCCGAAGCCCGCCTGTTTGGCCTGAGGCAGACAGTTGGCCGTGTTTCCATTCGTCGATGCTTTGATCGGGTCTAACCCTATGGACACACACACACACATACATACAATCAAGCAACCTGCGAGCAGCCAGAGGGAGAGGTGCATGTCTGGTTGCTAGCTCAATTGCCCAAAGCAAATCGACGGGAGTTGACGGTTTGCTCCCCCTTGTTTGAGCTGTGGTTTAGGAGGAATCCCTTCCAGCGATCCAGTCAGCGGATGCCCACTTAAAATTGGAGGCAGTTAGCACCCTCCAGCCTTCTTTGCGATACAATGGCGACCCATTTTCCCACAACCATGCAATAGCATGGTAGAGTGCCCAATAGCGTGGTACAGTGCCAAGCATGAATTTCCACAAACCGTTTACTGTAACTATATCCTATTCAAGGAGTAGACGCAAGTCCTGTGTGTTCGTCGTTCTGCGGGGTGCCGAGGATGCAACTCGACACCGTGGCCGGGCGGTCCCAGGCCGGTCTTTTCGAAAGCAGCATCGAAACGTCGGCCAAGAGCAAGAGAGTGTACAATTCGAGTTGGTCTTTGACCTCTGGCAAAAGGAGAAGCAACTGTTTACCCCAAGGTTTTCCAAACGTCAATCGGTCGAAAGACCCACGCCGAAGGCCGGCGATTTGGTGGGGTCTTGGCCAATCCTGAACCGGAAGTTCCATGAAGGCTCAGGGGAGGTTTCAGTGAGGTTCCGGGCCAGAAATCGCAATCGCCACCTTTCAAAAGGGGTTCCAATCCGTTTTTTGACCGAATTCCTCCCGCCCGAACCCTGGCGTGTCGCCGTCTCATTGCTGCAGGCAATCTATAGCTTGGTGGGCATGGGCCCGCCGGGCATCAAGCGCGCGGAGGAGATGGTGGCCGCGCCTTGGATGGAGAAAGCCGGGGGTTGCTTATTTCTGGAATTTTCTTTGACATTGTTTTAGTTTAAGGAGAGAGATACAGAGATAGAGGCAGAGACCGACAGACAGGCAGGCATGTGGGCAGGCAGGCAGGCAGCCAGGCAGGCAGACAGGTAGTTAGTTAGGATAGACACAAGAGCAACGAGCAATAATGTTAAATGGATACAAGGGAGAAGATGGATAAGCATGTTGGCGGATGGATCCATACCAAATTGTGTGTGTAGAACGGCGTGCCAGTTGACGATTGATAGATTGGTATACACAACCCATCACCTAGCTATATCTGGATAGGCAGACAGATAAGATAACAAGAGAAATATAAGAACATCAAGATCGACAATATAGATAAGATAGACAGATAAGCCATATCATAAGATATAAGATAAGGTAGTATAGCAGGATAGCGTACTTTTTGGGCAACCCCCACCCCCCCCCCACCCATAAAATTTCTCCGATGGCAGGTTGTCCGAAGTCGCATGCAAAAAATTGCCAACCTTTGCATGGTGTGAACCCATTTCAACCCTCTATCACTTTCCAACATGAAGGTTGGCAGGAGGACTACGGCTATTCTCTTGTGTTAAAAAACCACCCCTCCCTCCCCCTCTCCCTCCCCTCCCCCCTACCCCCTCCGCCCTCCCTTCCCCCTCCCCCTCCCCTCCCCCCTCCCCTCCCCCTCCGCTCCCCCTTTCCCCCTCCCCCTCCTCTCCCCTCCACCTCTCCCCTCCCCGCACCCCCCCTCCCTCTCCCCTCCCCTCTCCCCTCCCCTCTCCCCTAAAAAATGTAGAAAGGGCTGGTCCTAAGGGGAAAATGTCAAATGTTGGGGGATTTCTTGGAGTATTGTTTTTCAACAGTTTAACCATCTTATTCGTTTTCACTACCCATGTTTCATGCCATGTTTCATTTTGTTTTTCTCGGGGTGATGGTTTATTTCGTTTTGAAAGAGGTTAGTACTTTTAGTAGTTTCATCGATTGGGGTGTTGGCGGGTCTTCTGGTTTTCCTATTCTTTGTTTATGTCATATTCAAAATCTGATGAGGTTTCAATGTAATATCTTATCTCTTCCTGTGTTGTTTGCTGTTTGTATTCTTTTGTTGCTTCTTCAGTCTTTGGTGGCTTTGGATTCTTAACATTGTTGATGTGTTGTTTGGTTCTTTCGTGTTTTGCTTTCTGACTAAGTGAGACCATACACCTACAATATTGACATTCAATTTTTCGTAGGTTGTATTCTTTACTGTGTTCTTTCTGGTATTGCTGTTTGTGTTCTTTATTATTTTCATAATATTCCTTCGCTTTTTGGCTAAGTGTTTCTTTATTTCTTTCTCTGTATCTCTGTTTGCTTTCGAGACATAAATTACATTGTTTCCTTTCTTCTTTGAACCTTTCTAGCGGTTGAAAGACTTTACATTTTGAACACTGCTTTTTGTCAGTCATATATCCTTAAATATTAAGGGGTCTAGTCTTTAAATTAATTCAGGGGTATTCATAGGTTAAAAGTTCACTATAATTATAACATATAAGAGTATAAATGATATAATTATGGTTTAGTTATAGATAATATGATTAAACCTGTTTTCAGTGTTTCCAGTCTCCTATATTGTTCCAAGAGCTGCTCAAGATGTTTCTGATATTATACCAGATTAAGTTAACGTCATAATCTTTCATTGGTGCTCTTTGTTGTATTAAATAACGCAACACTGATATCAAAGTATAATAATTCAAATGCATTGTTGTCATTCCTCCTCTTTCGTTAATACTATTACCATTATGTTTAACGAGTTCTTCTTTCATTATGTTTTCGTAAATCTCTTTTATCCATTGATGATTTTGTTCTCCATACTCGGCGAACATATCTAGATATATAACTTCCATTGTTTTATCGTTTTTAATTATTTCAATGACTTGTTTATATGATGGATAGGGATTATCCTTAATGAATCTCAATATTATCTTTCTATCCTGTTCCAGCTCTTTTTCTGTCACTCCTATCATTGGCATTTTTCACGTAATATATTATGTTATTTTTTCTATAAGTAGTTTTTATTTTATGATATGAGGCTTGGGGTTATGTTGATAAGTTACTTTCTAATAAATAATATAATGGCGAGATTAACGAAAGACCGATACGCTTGTATCAATTTCACATTGAAATGATACACATGTATCATGGAAACGATACACACGTATCATGGAAACGATACGTTTGTATCAATTTCACATTGAAATGATACACATGTATCACGGAAACGATACGCTTGTATCATGATTACGATACGGTCACGTTCCCCTTTTTGACTGCTTCGAGTGGTGTAAGTGTATCATAACTGATGTGACCAAAGACCTAGACAGCCTGAAGGTTAGATAAAAAATGCGTTCTCCGTTACTGTGAGTCTTTGAAGGGTCTTTGAAGGGAGCAATGTGTTTTTCCTGTTTTGGTCAGGGTTCAAACAAGACAAGGGGAGACTTCACCGAGCCACCTTGTATCCCAAATCACGAGCGACCAAACCAACACTGCCTGTACCACTAAATAATTCTAATAATTTCATAATATTAGAATTATTTAGATATTTACTTTACTTTATTGTGTAGTGTCGCGAAGCTCACTAGGCTATTGCTTCGCAATAGCGTAGTGTCCATACGGGATTGAATTGAAAGCATCAATATAAAACCTTTTATTTTCATAATTACTCAGAGATTGCTTAACCTGACTCATTGAATATATCTGATGAGTGCGACTTCTAATAAAGTTGTAGGAGATTTCGTGCTTTTTGTTGTGATGCAGTGCTTCATGATAGTTCTGATATGTTAATTCCTTTTTAACCTTGTGCTTGACTACACCTTTGGATTTCTTGTGTTCCTCATCCTCGCCGTGGATTGTGAACGCATATGATTTAGGCTTCAATCCGATGAATCTAGTAATGATTTTACCGTTGACTTCATCTTTGAACATTCCTAATACCTTCTTATTTGTTGTGTCGTGGCATGGATGTTCAACAGGATAATCACTAAAATCCATATGTTGCTTGATACCTTGAAAATCCTTGTAGATATCATCAGTGAAGGTTTGAATTACATAACTGTCAGTATCTGTATATATCAATTTGATATTTTCGTTGTATTTCTTTTTCAACACACCATAGTAAAACTCATACATATGTAATTTACTCAAATCCAATATTGTCATTCCTAAGAATATGGGTTTATCCAATTTCAGTTTCGCTTTAGTTTTCTCCACTCCTACCAGATTTTCATTTATGATAAATCTATTTTTGAAAGTAGGATTATTCACGCACTTTTCATATCTAACATCATTATCTACCAGTTCAAAATCCATATGTTTTCTTTTGTCTTCCATAGTTTTTCCATACACCGCGTTATTCATTAATTTGAACAGGTCCTTCTCAAAGTCGCTCTTCGCTTCTTTCCTCTTACCAGTGTTGAAGTCAATCCATGGTTTCAACCAAGCCCTCTGTTGAAATTTTATTATCCTATGAACCTTGGTGAGTTTCATACCCATTTTTAGATAATACTGTAAAGTCTTGATATGAACAACATATTTTTCTTTATCTTTCAAATTTAATATTAACTTGCTGGTTTTCTCATCCTTCGGTTCTTTGTTTCCATAGTAGATTTTGAAGATTTCCTTTTGATAGTCTGACAACATATTAGCATTGACATTCATTATTTCCGGTGCTAGTGGATAGTCCGAATGGTAGTCGTGTAGTGTTTCTGGATATTCCAAATCCACTTCAAGGATGAAACCATACTCATCTTTTTCATCCCACTTTTCAATGTTAGGTGTTTTCTTTGTCCATTTGATGTTCTTTAAAGGCAATTTTTGAGACATCGCCAGACCATACAAATTGTTAGCATCTAAGTAATTGATATAACTTGATGGTTTACTTTCATCAAAGGCTTCATCCATATACTTATTGTTTGCCTCAGCCAGTTTATGACTGACCTGACACATGCCTCCTCTCATTCCCTGTTCAACCATCTCATACATGTCTTTATCGTGCAACTGTTCAATTTCAACGCCAGTTTTCAACAACATAGCTTCCCAAGCGAAGTTAGGAAGCGTATAATAATGAGCGGGGTCCAAACCGTAGTATTCCATACATAAGTCTCTAAAATTTTCAAAGACATCAGTCAATAATAAAACATCGGTTCTCAAATACAAATCGTGATATTGTCCTAATGTTCTAATACCGAAGTGCTTCCAAACCTTTTGTGCCCTTTCATAATCTTTGTCGTTGACATGTTCCTCACTTAATTTACTGTAGAACGCTTCTTTTGGCGGTAAGTTTCTTTCAGTAAATCTGTCAAAACTATCAAAATAGTCATAAGGATAAATCCCCTTATCAGTCAACAAGTCCAAATCTTCATCGGTTTTAACATATGGATTTCTAACACTGTATCTAAAATTGTTCTTCCAGTTCTCACGCCTTTTATCATCTTCATACTTACTCAACTTTACCAACTTATCTAACGAAGACGATAAGAAGCTAAAACTGTCCTTGAAACAAAGGTTTTTAAAACCAAAGGTTATGAACTTCTCGCTGTTCTGTGCGATGCAATCGATTTTAGCATTCTTGCTCAGTTCGTGTGCCTTATTGATGATTAAGTGAGCGTCATAGTTTTTAAGGTTATGAAGGAAGACTGGTATTTTATAATATCTCATACTAAAAGCAAGATTACAATCATCATGAGCACAACCTCTATATTTACCAGTAAAATGGCAATGGTCACGAACCTTCTTATCTCCTTCCTGAAAGCCCTTTCCACAAACGAAACACTTAGTAGCAGTGTCAAAATCTGTTTTATCGTCCTCAGTCATGATTATCTCTTTCACTTCCTTCATTTTCTTTATTACATCATCTCTGACTTCATTCATTTTCTCAACGAACTTATCCATACAATCTTCGCCTCTGTATAAATAGGGCTCACTGCTTCCAGTGATGGCAT